TAGCTGGCTCTACAAAGCTTCTGTCAGCTCCAAATATCACAGGAATCTTAAAGGGTCACACCCTGGATCAACGGTTCACTGACCCTGCTAATCTCTCCTACCCATAAAGGGGACAGTACCCAAGATGCCACCCCTAATGGCCACTGAATTAGGGTGGACCACACATCCTGAATTGGGCAGGAGAGTCCCAAAATGCAGTGTTCAAGTCCTAGTGTGGGCTGAAAGACTCCGGAACAGCATTTGCCCCGAATTCCCTGTGATGCCGATCCACACCTGCTCATGGACAGAGCCCCCCTTTTCACTTTTGGGGGGGATGAGATCTTTAGCCCCCCCTTGCTATGAGGCCCCCCCCTGCTCCTTTTTTCCCCGAGGCTGCGTCCCCTGAACGGGGCAGGTGGAGCGTCTGGGGTTCCCCAGAGCGGCACTTGATCTCTGGGTTTCTTTTACCACGGCCTGGCTCTGAAGTCCAGCCTGGTCACTGGGTGGAGCTTGTGGGAAGAGAAGGAGCAGGAGGTGGGAGTTCAGGGGGGAAGGAGAGGGCCAGGGGTGAAGCCATGGAAGGGGCAGGGCTACTGCATGTGTCTTGCTTTTTCCTTTTGAGAAGGTGGTCACCCTACACGGAATGGGCTGGACAGCGACAGGAGATTTCCATGACTCTGTTGGGGAGCTGAGGCCCTTTTCCACCCCTTTGAATTGCTGGGGCAGCAGAAATGGAGGGGAATATGAGCCGGATTCTCTTGCCAGGACACCTGAGTGTCAGACCCTCACTCACACAGCCAGCTCTGCTCTGCTTCCATGTGGAGTGAGCTCAGCAGGTGTGCACCAGCGGTGGTGATGAGGAGGGGGTTGCCTGAATGGCTTCTCTTGCAGCTCCTACATTAATGATGTCTTTGACATGACTCAGTCGCAAGCACCAGGCTGAGGGCATAGGAGAAGGGTGGGTGTCCGTGCCCCTTGAATAGCCCCTGTCCCCAGCTGGTGCAGCCCTCAAGGATCATGCAGCACCAAGGGCGCTCAGGAAGGGCCAGAAATGTGACCGCGAAACAGCTCTGCAGCTTTTCTCATGGCCCAAGGATGTTTAACCAGAGACAGGACAGTGACAAGCCAGGTGTCATGGAAAACATCATCCACATCCCTTCTCTTTATTAAGAGTATCGTCAGGAATTCTGAAGGTGGAGCAGCCAGCAATATGATTATTTATGGGCCAACATCCTACTCCTTCCCTGGCTCTCCACGAACACAGTCACTTTGTAAATGCTGTTGCCTGCCTTGGACTCCTTCCCCCAGTGCACTACTGTCCTTCCTCAACACAGGGTGGAAACAACCCCTATATCTTTGCTTCAGGCCTTAGACCCCATCTGAACCTGTCTGTACAGAGTGGAGATCAGTAGCTCATGTCATCACAGATATAAGGGTCCAGGATGGAATAAGTCACCATGTCCTGTGTTTCTCGTTTCCTTTGCCACCAACACATGGGCCAGGTGATAAACTGACCCTTCACTTAACGAACATCCTGATTATCCTTGAACGAAGGTATTTGCTTTTCATGCTGTACACGATAGGGTTAATCAGAGGAGGAACCAGCAGATTGACGTAGCCCAGGACAATCGGAAGCAAGGGAGAAGAGCCCTTCCCGAATCTGTGTATCAGAGCCAGGCTGAACTCTGGCATGTAGAAGAGAAGGACGGCGCAGAGGTGGGCGATGCAGGTGTTCAGGGCCCTGAGGAACTCCTTGTAGGATGTGATGCTCAGCACTGTTTTGAGGATCATCACATAAGAGAGGAAGATGAGCAGCCAGTCCAAGAGCACCGTTATGACTGTAATAAACAAGCCATAGATATTGTTGACACTGATATCCGCACATGCCATTGTCATGACCTCCTGGTGCAGGCAGTAAGAATGGGAGAGGACATTGGCTCGACAGTATTGGAACTGTTTCAGGAGAAGGGGGAGTGGGAGCATTATGGCCACCCCTCTTAGAACACACACCAGTCCCATCTTGGCTATTCTCGGCAGGGTTAAGATGGAGGCATATCTCAGTGGGTCACGGATTGCGATGAAGCGGTCAAAGGCCATCAACAAGAGCACGGAGGATTCAATGCATTGAAATGACTGGATAAAGAACAACTGGGCAAAACAGGCATCAAAGCTGATCTCCCTAGAATTAAACAAGAATATGCCCAGTACAGTGGGTATGGTGGCTACCAATAAGCCAAGGTCTGTGACGCCCAACATGGAAAGGAAAATGTACATGGGCTCATGGAGGCTTGGATCTGTTTTTATAATGAACAGAATGACTGAATTTCCTAATATTGAAATAACATATATTAAGCACAAGGGGAGAGAGATCCAGAGATTGTGGATGTGTTCCTGCCCAGGTATCCCGGTGAGAAGAAACACTGCAGATTTGAATTTGGTGTCATTGACAGCTGACATTATGTACTGGGCAGATCCAAGGAGTTTTGAACTTTCCTTCCTGAAAGGAAAAAGAACAGGAGACTAGATGTTATTTAACGAGACAACTTCCTGCTCTCAGTACAAGTCTAGAGACTCTCAGGAGCTAAAGAAAAATTAGCAAAAACAAAGTCTTGGATTTACACCACCGATAGCAAGATAGATATTCCCAGACTGGATCAGACCTGTAGTCCATCTACCCCAGTAACCACTGGCCAGTTCCACATTCTTCAGAGGAAGGTAGAAGGAGCCCTGCAATAGGAAGTTCTGAGATAACCTGTTCTCAAAGTTTCCCCCTGACACCCACTAGTTAGAAATATTTTGTGGTGTAAATCAGGAAGGCTTAGAGCCATTCCAAGGGTTTTAAAATCAGTCCTTACTAGTGTATTTGGATTTTCTGGTTACCCATATAAATATCCAGTCCCTCTTTGAATCCTGCTAAGCTCTTTGCTCCATTCATATCCTGTGGCTGGGAGTTCTGCAGCCTACTTGAGCACTGTGTGATTTTACAATTGTGACCTTCCCACAGACAACGTTTCTGGCCCTCCCCTTCTGAGTGTGGCCCATTGTATCATGACATGTGTACAAACAAGCGTATTGAAGATATTTATAAATGTGTTTCATTGCCTTATTATATATAGATAGATAGATAGATAGATATAGATATATAGATATATATAATTATTTGCTCCACTCCTGAGAGTCCAAATGATGCCACTACCTCTTTGCAGCACATAGGATAAATTCCCAGGGCCACGTTCTGAATTTACTAGCTTTGACTTCAACTGCATCACTCCAGATTTACATGTGTAAATTCAATAAGGACCAGGCTCTATTCATTTTCCTTAAAAAAATGCTCCCGGTGATACACTCTGACCCCCAAGAATCCCTCCAGGAGAAGCTGAAGTGCTTTGCCTGGCCAATGTTGACTGAATCCAGAAAGTTTGATCATCCTACAGGTTTCTCTTCATTCTCACAGGAACTGCTCCCTCTCGTCATGGAAGGGTCTGTAGCTATCTGCAAAGATCCAAGGTGACACGGACAGTTACTTCATCTGGGCGGAGGAGGGGTTGGCATCACAAATGTATGAATAGTGCAAACAGTAGGTTTGCACTAATATCCCCTTCAGTGTGCAAGTGACTTCAGCCATGCTCGTGTAACAGCTAATGGTGAAAATTACATACAACCAGTATTACACTCCCTTTCCTGCACCTCTGCTCTGCTCTTTGCTGAAACACAGATCAGCGGTCTTTTTCTCAGAACTTTTTGGGAAGTCTTGCACAGGTATTGCAGAGGTATTGTGTTCATGGCCCTGATTAGAAACAGCTTCTTGTTAGTTACCAGGAGACAGTATCACACAACATCTTTATTAATTATTTGGATTAAGGGATGGATTGCACCCTCAGATGACACTAATCTGGGGGGAAAGGTAGATACACTGGAGTGTAGGGATAGCGTCCAGAGTGACCTAGACAAATTGGAGGATTGGGCCAAAAGAAATCTGATGAGGTTCAACAAGGACAAGTGAAGAGTCCTGCACTTAGGACCGAAGAATGCCAGGTACCGCTACAGGCTGGGGACCGACTGGCTAAGCAGCAGTTCTACAGAAAAGGACCTGGGGATTACAGTGGATGAGAAGCTGGATATGAGTCAGCAGTGTGCCCTTGTTGCCAAGAAAGTTAACGGCATATTGGGCTGCATTAGTAGGAGCATTGCCAGCAGATCGAGGGAAGTGATTATTTCCCTCTATTCGGCAATGGTGAGGCCACACCTGGAATATTGCGTCCAGTTTGGGTCCCCCACTACAGAAAGGATGTGGATAAATTGGAGAAAGTCCAGTGTAGGGCAACGAAAATGATCAGGGGCTTAGGGCACAGGACTTATGAGGAGAGGCTGAGGGAACTGGGGTTATTTAGTCTGAACAAGAGAAGAGTGAGGGGGGATTTGATAGGAGACTTCAACAACTACCTGAAGGGGGTTTCCAAAGAGGATGGAGCTCGGCTGTTCTCAGTGTTGGCAGATGAAAATAATATGGAGCAATTGTCTCAGGTTGCAGTGGGGGAGGTCTAGGTTGGATATTAGGAAACACTACTTAACTAGGAGAGTGGTGAAGCACTGGAATGGGTTACCTAGGGAGGTGATGGAATCTCCATCCATAGAGGTTTTTAAGGCCCGGATTGACAAAATCCTGGCTGGGATGAATTAGTTGCTGTTGGTCCTGCTTTGAGCGGGGGGTTGGACTAGATGACCTCCTGAGGTCTTCCAACCCTAATCTTCTATGATTCTATGATTCACTCAACAGGGAGTTCATAGCATAAACCCTTTGCAAACAGCATGTGAAGTACTTCTGATATACTTTCGAAAGCAAAAGCCATTAAGCAGTGAAGTCACCACTGCTCCTTCCTGTAGAGATTCCAACAACTCTACTGATGGCTTTCAACATACAATCATGTCTTGAAAGTTTGGTTTCTCATGTTTTTATTACAATGAAAAGTTTTGGCATAACATTTCCACATCTGTACTTTAGTCCACACACGTCAACCCATTCTTTCCCCTCTGATCTTCTTTCAGAGATGATTTCTCAGGTTATTGTGGGATTTAAAATGTAGCATCTGACATCTGGATTTCTTCAGAACCTGAAAAGTTCACAGTGTCTCAGCCCTTCTTCAGTGGCTTGTCAGCAAACAAAAGTCTAGTAGCTCCTCTGTCCCTGGGTTAATAGTTGACTGGTTCTCCTCAGGTTCTGTTCTGTCAGTCTGTAGCCTGTATCCAGAGTGGTAACAGGCATTGGGGTCAGTATAGAAAATATTCATTCCCTGAGCTCTGACTCTCTAGTACATAGTAACCGCAGCAGCAGTTATTCTGCCAGAATGATGGTTTGCAGGAAGTGGATTTGAAAGTCAAATACATGAGTAGTCATGGAAATGGAACTTCGTTTCACACAGGAAAGTAGTCTATTGCTCTCTCTCTCTCTCTGACTGTCTCTGTCCTGTATTCATAACATCCATAGGACCCGGGAAAGTCATTGGGACAGACATGGTGCTCACCTGCCATAATGAATGTGTGTGTTAAACCCAGTTCTTGGGATGTTTTCTGTATAACTATATTGGGTTAAGTTTTGGGATATTTATGTTAAGACTTTATTGGGTGTAACCAGTTTGGCTCTTCTTAGTTTAAATGCAGGCTGCGGGAAAACAAACAGGATGGGAAGGAAGAGAGTAAGTAAAGTCATCGCTCACTCAGCACTTTAGGGAGGTTGAGAGACAACACAAGCTGGGAAGAGCCTATTTCTGGGCTCCAGCCACATTACACAGCTTGTTTTGCCAGTGCTGGGAGTCTGTCCAGAGATGGGGCAGCTTTTGCTGAGAAGCTCTTCAGAGTGCAAGGACAGACACCGCTGGGGAAATCTGAAGGCCCTGGGCCTGCCTCTGTCTGCATCAGATGGGGAGGACTTGGGGTCAGAGACATATACAGACTGTTCTTGGAAAACCATCTTATTCTCCCATGTTACGCTTTATTACTACTGTTCAGATTAAAGAGTGTCTGGTTCAAGAAGGCTGACTGATCACTCGTCTCAGCATTAGTACATGCTCACAAAGGGAAGAACCACAGGTCCGGAACCTACTGGGACCTGCTGGACAAGCACAGTCCCCCCAGAGTGTGTTGTAAC